CGCGATTTGGGCAAAAATCGTGATAATTCGTACAAATTCGTACAAATTTTTTGCTCGACCCCCAAACCTATCATTTGATGCAGATTTTTCATCATCATCCATAAAATGTTCAGTCCATTCTGGTGATACTTTTATATCCTCTACGTGATCCTTGTAAACAAATAGAAAATAATTATTATTTAATTATATCTAAATCGTATTTGATATACCATATCTACAGTATTTGGCATCTTAGTTACTTCCATTAGCTCTTCATGTACTGGAACCCATTCAAAAGTGTTGGCTATACTTTCTATCTTCACTTTTTCGGTTGTGTGCAACGTAATTCATTATCAGCCCTTCTCGCCTTTTCAATAAAATCATAAACGTCTTTAAGTTTTTGGGCACAATCAAGGCATAGATATTGCGTCCGGGCATCATCGAGTTCATTTAGATCATCTTTCAAACTTAAATTAATTTGTGTACATTTACAAAAACACTCTTTGTATGATATATCCAAAGAGTCAACAGGCTGATGCCAATCTAGCAGATGCACCCGATCTTCCGGCGACAAACAGGCACGGCATATACCTATTTGATAAATCTATCTGAACTTTTCACCACTGCCGTATTGATAATTCAAGTCTTAGTCGGTAAAAAATAGTTTTGTAGAATGTGTGATTATATATTGGTAAGGCAGAACAATTTGAAAATAGGGATGTCGAAAATATTTCGATATAAAAAATGGTACAATTTTAATGCTTTTAAAAGTCGACTGTCCGACAAATAGATTTCTTCGGTAGATATAGTGATGTTCCGATATCAGTGAAAACTATCTCCTGAAATTGAATCAAAATAAATTAAAATGTACTTTAATAAATTTAAATAAAAATATTGTTATAAACTTACAAATTGGTCATAGGCAAAAGATTGTTTCTTTTGTTTACTTTTTACCGCTCTTCTTCTGCCATTGTTTACTATTCACGGTGCATTATCAAACGTCAAAATTACTGGCCTACTACTATTTCAAGCAGAAGAAAGAACACGAAAATTTTCTTGTGCATTTTCTTAAGAGCTGGATACTAAAGCCCTGTATGCAGCTCTCAAGAAAACGGTCAAGAAAAAATTGCCATTATTTCGTGTGTGTGTCCAAGGAATTTTGACATTTTTGATACTTCACAGCGTGTTGCCTCACTCTTTCCTCAAGAAATAATGGAACGGGCATATATTTCTGTTGCAAACCTGGGTTGCCTTGTGCTCTTTTTTCACAAAAAACTTTAGAAAACCGTAGCAGAAAGCGTAGTAAATTTCTTAAGAAAGTAAAAATAAGCTTTTTATTTTATAATAATAAAAATATAATATAAAAAAGAGCACAAGGCAACCCAGGTTTGGAACAGAAATATATGCCCGTTCCATTATTTCTTGCGGAAAGAGTGAGGCAACAGGCTGTGAGGTATCAAAAATGTCAAAATTTCTTGGACACACACGCGAAATAATGGCAATTTTTTCTTGACCGTTTTCTTGAGAGCTGCATACAGGGCTTTACAGTTAAATATGTATAACGTCACTATACACAAATAAAGGCGCGCTAGAGTTTCGACGGCGAAAAAAGACGTGTAAAAAATCGTTCCCACGACAGTCGGGTCTACGTAACCGGAACGACCCAGATTTATATCTGGCCAAGGACTGTCACTCCAGCAACTGTATGCTGTTACAACAACAACAACGTGTAAAAAATTTCACGAAAAAAGGCGCTTAAGTAAAACTTCGGCGAAGAAAGACGCGTAATCATAGATTTATACTTGGCCAAGGACTGTCACTTCGGCATCATTCCGCAAATATTTTTGGGAAATTTACATACTGTTACACCCCCAAAAATATTTGACCGCGAAAATAAATTTACGCGTCCTCCTTCGCCGTCAACTATATTAGGACTATGTTCAAACAGGCGCCTAATTGGCAATCAAGAACCTTTTCACCAATTTAAGCCTTAAATGCTACCCAATTTATCATACTAATAATTAATTGGCAATTAACTTGTGTCAGATTCTCAATGCAACCCTGCTAGGTATGTTTAATTTTGACTTGGAGGTATGTTTATTGAACAAAGAGCAATCGGTGACAGGTAGAAAGATCAACGGAAATAAGGTCAATTGACTTATTAGCTTTTCTAAAGCGAAATAAAATCCATTGATATTATTGCTCTTTCAAACATTAAATTTGCTTAGCTTCGTGGCGGCCGGCGTACCCCGCGCGACCGGTGCGCCACACCACGTCACGCTAGGCCGCGCTATGCATATAGCACGGTGTCGGTAACGTCGATAAAAGCACAGACAGACGGCAACGTTGATCCGGATTAACAGCGCAGTTGATCTGATCAAAATTGTGCCTTGACAGACGGCAGTAATGTGGATTTACGAGCCTCGAGGTCGAAGGTTCGAATCCCATGGCCAGTAAAATATTATTTATTTATTTTTAGTCATTCAGTTATAACTTCTATATTTTTTTAAAGTTGGTTTTAGTTAGTTGCCATTGACTTTTTTGGTAAAATTAAACTCTAAAAATTTTAGTTAACTAATAATAAAATAAAAAATGGTAAATAACAAAAATCGAACGAAAATTAAGTAAAGTAAAATTAAATATATTAATCAAATAAAAAAAAAATTATGTAACAATAAAAACTAAATTTTTTTGGCAATCGGTTCAACCGAGGATCGAGCCTGGGACCTGCAGGCTTGTAGTACGCAGCTCTCACCATTCGGCTATCACGGATGAAGTTGTTTGCTGCTTCGTTTGCGTAGTTGTTTGCTCAGAGAGCGTAGAACACAAAGACAATTCAAAACTAGCATGGACATCCATCTTGTCGTCGGTAATGCAGTCTCCGTATACATTCAAACAGTGTTGTCACAACTTTTTGGACGAACCGGCTAAATTTGAAAATAAAACCGGCTAAAAACGGCTAAATGTTTCAACTAAATTTCACATGTTTTATTTAAATAAATCACGAGTAAAAATACTATTTCTTAGAGAAAAGTTACAAATTCGAGCCGGAAAAAATTTTGCCAGCAAGAGTTTGCAATTAGGAAAAACATATGATTGTGGCACATGGTTGTATTTTTTGTCGACGATAATTTGAATAAACAAGTTCGTTTAATATCAAAATTTACAAACAGGAGCGATTTTAAAATGAAAAATGTAAGTTAATACTTGTTTACTTAATTAATTTAGTTAATTCCAATGATTTGAAAGGTACTCGGCAAAAAAACTGTATTCTTAATAGGAATGCAATCTCAACCAGAGTCGATATAGTAAACCCGACAAAGAAATTGAAACGTATGTTCAAGAAAGTCGGACTGACAAGATATATACACGTACATAGATCCTGTTTTTTGCCCCTCTGAAAAAATTTTTAAAAATCTATACAAATTTCTTTGGTTTGAAATTCAACCGTGGACACTAGCTGGCAGAAAAGCTTGCAAATTTGCGTTCGTACAGAAAATTGCAAGTTTCTCTACATGAAAGAGAATTTGGGAGCACTTTTTCTTACTATCTGATATTTTGAGTGATAACACTGGTCGAAGGCCAAAATTTACCAGAGACGCCGTTATGAAATTCTTATGTAAAATCACCCCCTGATTCCGAAAATCAAGGTTATTTTTAATTTTATGGTACCGTTTTTGAGATATTTGCAATTTACCGTTTTTGCAAAAAAAAAAACAATTGGGTCCACTTAATCATATATATCTCAAGAACGAATAAAGCAATTCCAAAACGGTTTGAAGCTTTTAAAAGGTAATAAAATTTTCTATAAGCTGTGCATACAACACTTTTTGCTAGGCCCTGCAGATTCAAAGATAACGAACAATCATTACCGATTTTTTCAATTTTTTTTGTAAAAATATAAAAGAAATTGTACTTTGCGGGGAAGGATCTCGAAAACCTTTTATTTTTTTGCAGATTTTTTTTTTCTCCCTAAGCTCTGTTGTATTACAAAAAAAATAAGCTATCATCGAAGAAAATCGATGCAAAACTACGTAAGTTATAAGCGATCAAATAAAAATACCCAGGTTGCGCAATTTCAACGTATACCTCAAAACGTATGTATGGTATAAAGAAGAGTGAAATATCTAGCTATTCTCAGTTTCTATTGAGTTAAAAGTTCAATTTATGAATGAAATTACCCATATTTTTAACTTTTTTTTAATTTATTTATGTTTATACTATATTCTAACAATCTTTATCTTAATTTGATTGGTAATGTCACTGTAGGTACGCTAGCATAGGTTACTCCTCTTGATCTTCCAACGCCAAGTACTTTTGTTTGACAAATATAACACTCTATTGAATGGCAAGTAGGTTCTCTCCATATCATTGGTGTATCAAATTTTGTTTGTTGTCCTGATTCCCACTGAATCAATTCTACTCGACACGATGTACACAAAGTGTTCGGTGTCCATGGTTTTTCAGCATTTTTAGGCTCAATTCCAAAATACTTGGAGTATAAAGTTTTGATATGATCTGAGAACACTCGTCGTCGCCTTATGATAGTATATTGGCCACACATGAAACCGAACATATCTGGATCCTTATTACACTCAAATTCTCGCGTCCTTTTACTCATTTTATTTTTTTTAATAAATCACGGTTTTGAAATTAGACTTATGAACTGAACTATCTCCGGCGAGCCTTGAAGATGTTATGAAGTTTCAAAGCGCATTAACTCATATTTATACTCGGAACAAGAATAAAATTGAAAAAATCAAATCTTACCTAGACAGAAAGGTTCCTTTTTATAACAAGCCGGGAAAAGAAAATACTACCTGTTTTAGATGTAGGCTTTAGAAATTTTCTGTGTCTTATAATTTTGAAAATCTACCTGCATACTTACCCATAACTGACGGAAATACATGTTTATAACTACATGCCTACAGCAGGTTTCGAACCCAACCACTCTTCCTTTCGATGCAACCACTCTACCTACTATAATACAATTCGAGTATTAAAAGTACTATTTGATTTATTTAAAGAAAAAGTGTTATCATTGTTATGGTGTTATTCGTTTATCCGGATAATATCTCACTTGCACTTTATACCTTTAATATATGTATGTATGTATAGGTACATACATTGAAGTTGCGCAACCTGGGTATTTTTATTTGATCGCTTATAACTTACGTAGTTTTGCATCGATTTTCTTCGATGATAGCTTATTTTTTTTGTAATACAACAGAGCTTAGGGAGAAAAAAAAATCTGCAAAAAAATAAAAGGTTTTCGAGATCCTTCCCCGCAAAGTACAATTTTTTTTATATTTTTACAAAAAAAATTGAAAAAATCGGTAATGATTGTTCGTTATCTTTGAATCTACAGGGCCTAGCAAAAAGTGTTGTATGCACAGTTTATAGAAAATTTTATTACCTTTTAAAAGCTTCAAACCGTTTTGGAATTGCTTAATTCGTTCTTGAGATATATATGATAAAGTGGACCCAATTTTTTTTTTTTTTGCAAAAACGGTAAACTGCAAATATCTCAAAAACGGTACCATAGAATTAAAAATAACCTTGATTTTCGGAATCAGGGGGTGATTTTACATAAGAATTTCATAACGGCGTTTCTGGTAAAGAGAAAAAGTTGAAATTTGTGGTCCAGTGTAATTATCGCTGGATTTTCGACGAACAAACCTATTGTCTTTCTTATAAGGCCTTTTCAGATTGAACGACTCTCAATACACTCAAATAGAAACCAATACACATAAAAAAAATAAAGAGTATATAAAAATTTAAATTAAAATTGTTTGATTTTTTTAATTAACTTTAACAATTAACTTATCTTGTACATAATTTATATGTTTTTTTTTGTATTTCTAATTCAAAAACACTAAAAAACGAAAAAGAAATCGTATTTTTTCATAAAATGGCCTTTTTTGAAAAAATTTCATAACGAATGCCAAAGAAATGTATATACTTCAGAAAACACAAGTTATTACCTTTAATTTGATGTACATAATTTATTACACTGTGCGACAAAATCAAACTTGTTGGCTCGGTATTGAGTAAAACCAAATGCAAGTGATAG